GGGGGGGGCATCCAATGGGGACCCCCCCCTGAGAACCCACAGGAGGAGCGAAGCGGCTCTGCCCGGCCCCCCCGACCCCCCCGCGTGCAGCTCAGCATCAATAATGCACAGCCCTTCTCCCATCCTCCCACCGCTCCGGATTAGCGGCGCGTTGCCGAGCCCCCGGGATGGGGTGATCAGCCCCCGCCTCCCCCTCTCCCCCCCCAGGCTTCGCTGACCCCGTTGTTGCTGATCCCCATAAGAACGGCTCCGGGCCCCTTCTTGGGACGGTGCAAACACCGCTGGGATGTGGGATGGGGGGGGCACCCGGATCGGGGCCTCACTGCTGGCACTGCCTTCAATTAATGATGAGTGCGTGGAGGGGGGGGGGGGGGGGGGGTGCCGGCGGCTGAGCAGTGGCTCACATTGGTGGGCAGTGGGGCTCCGGGGGGCAGAGGGGCACTGGGGGGTAGAAGAACACCGAGGGCAGATGGGGTGACCCTGCAGTGACACCCAAAAAGATCCCCGTCCCACAGCTGTGGGCAGTGGGGTTGAGCCCTGTGCGCCATGGGGTGGTTTGGGGTGAGGGATGTCCACCCGATGGGACTCTGCTCCCCACCAGGAGGGGCCACCGGTTCTTCCCACTCGGAGGTGGGGAACGGACCCGGCCCTGACCCCGCTTCTCCCTTTGCTTTGCAGAATGCAGCGAGCTGCTGTCCTGTGAGCTGTGCACCACCGCTCCTCCAGCGCCCAACGGCACCGGCTGCCTCTGGGGGGGCTGTGGGGCACCGGGTGAGCGCTGCACTCCTCCCCCCTCCCGGTGCCATCCATCCTTCAGCTTGGGGTGTGGGGCTCCAGGCCCGCCTGGGTCTCCCGGGACCCCCATGGGAAACCCCTGCCCCATTTCACTGCAGAGACGTGGAGCTGCGTGCGCAGCGGGGCGGCCACACGGGACACATGTGTGCTCTACAACAGCAGTGCCCTGTGCCCAGGTAACCCCACAGCCATGGGGCCGCAATGGGGATGGGACCACGCGTGGCTGTGCCCCCTGCAGCCCTCCTCACTCCTGTCCTCTGCTGTTGTCTCCAGCGGCACTGAAATCCCCCACCAAAGAGCCACCGCGGTCCCCTAGCAAGGAGCCAGCAACGCATTCCCCACGTGAGTGGGGCTGGGGTGGGAGAGCATGAAATGGGATAGGTTGGGATGGGATGGGATTGGATGGGATGGGGTGGGATGGGATGGGATGGGATGGATGGGATGGAATGGGATGGGATGGGATGGGATGGGATGGGATGGGATGGGATGGGAT